TCTTAGTGCAGTGCTTTAACCTGCTGCACCCCCAGGGAGGGCCATAAAATCTTGTTTTTTAAGATTTATTGATTTATGGAAGTGCAGGGGAATCGAACTCATGCGGAAGTGGCTTTAGCTTCTCAGTGCTGTGCTTTAACCCGCTGCACCACCAGGGAGGGCCATAAATAAATCTTTTTTAAAAAAAAATTCTCCACCATTCCTGCAGGTCCAGCTCAAATGCTACCTCCTCCACGAGGCCTCCCTGCTGGCCAGGTCTCTGGCCATAACAAGTACTTCCCCTTCTGAAAGGCCAGCAGAGTGTTTATTGGTTTCGGTTTTGATTTCACTTTAAGAGTTTTATCATGCCTTAGTTCACATGCCATGAAGTCCACCTGTTCTAAGTGAACAATTCAACAATCAAACGTGAGTTTGTACACCCTAACCTGACATGCCTTGACCTCTTGTCATGGGCAATTCTCAGTTCCCTGATGAAGGGCTCGGCATATTCTCATCTCCAGATTCCCACCCCCAACTACAGAGCCTGCACCCCTTGGGTACTGAGCTGGGAGTGTGTCTGCACAGGTCACCTGTCCCTGAGGAAAGGAACTTGAAAGTAACAACGGCTGATACTTCAAAGCAGCTGCTAGGCCCCAGGCCTCCTGCTCAGCGTCTGCCTGTGTGATCAGCCAAACGCGAAGGATTTCCATGGGGCTGAGGAGACGGTTGGGGAGGGAGGAGGAGCATCGCCCCATCTTACACACAGGGATCTAAGGCACAGAAAATGCCAGAGACTTGCTGAAACCACAGGGTTAGCGCATAGCCGAGCTGGGACTCAGTTCAGGGAGTTCCTGAGCCCTATTTGAGGCCAAGGGCACTAGTGTTGGGGAGACCGACTGTGGGGTTCCCTGGGACATAGGACTTCCAGTTTTAGAACCAGGACATTCCCAGGCAAACTGGAACGAGTCAGTCACTTTATAGAACGTTCGCCTTCGTGGGGGAGGCTTACCAGAATGTGGGTGCTGCTGGCTCGGCGGGGGCTTCTCTGAGGTTGCAGGGCCTCATCAAAGGGCTGTGTCCACATTGCTCCCTGGCCTCCATGGCCACTGTCCAGGGCTCTCTCTCTCCTCCTCTCCTCCACATCAGACTCCTGGGGGAGCACGCTTGTCTCCCCTGGTGCCCACCTGCCAGGTTAGAGAGCCACCCGGAGCTCACCAGCCCCAGACCAGGGGCTCCCAGGGGTTGGAGCTCATCAGAGCTAAGGACACTGGGAGTCAGCAGGGGCTCTTCTGCTCGCTGTCAGCTTGTTGACAACTCAGCTTGCTCATCTGTTCAGTGGGTCCCTGGGAAGCTCACCCCAAGGAGCCTGACAGGTTGCTGTCAAGACCTGCAAGACCATGTCCATTGTCAAGCTCGGCACAGTGTCACTGACGGTCCTGTTTGATCACCAGTGAGGCTGAGGCTCCAGAAGCAAAATGACTTGCCTGAAGTCACACAGCTCAGGGTAACCATTACCGCCTTGCTGTTTGGGCAGGGGCCGGGGGAGACAAGTCACTTGATACAAGGTGGGAGGCAGGAGCTGCCATTTCAGCTCCATCCCGGACAGGCGTGGTTCTTCCCCTTTCATTGGTGGGAAATATGGACCTAGAGGGCAAATCTTGCCCTGGGCACCCAGCCCATAGCTGTAGAACAGAGCGGAAGACCCAGGCCAGGGCACTCTGTCCTCCCAGGGGCAAGCACAGTTTCCCCTGCATCCACAGCAAGAAGGGCACATCTCCCTCCAGCTGCTGGAGGAGCTGTTAATAAGGGCTGGTTTTAATGATGCTAAATTAGCAAGACAATGCCATGAGCCTGAGGGTGCCAGGAATGTTTCCCAGAGCTTCTTTGCCTCCGGGTTAGGGCCAGAGAGGGAAGGGAGAAGGGAGAACGGAGAAGGGAGAAAAGAAACCAAGAGTGGAAACAGAGCCCTCCCTGGTGGTGCCAGGAATTGAAGCACACCACTATGAAGCTGTCCGCAGACTCTGCAGCATGAGTTCATCCCCAGCCAGGGAGCTGACTCACATGGTGCAGCAGACCTCTCCTGACCTGCCCACTGTTCCCCTCAGATCTGCCTGTTCTACTCCCCACTCTGTCTCTGATGAATCCTCTCACCCTCCATCTTCCCATCCCCCCACCCACAGCCCTGCAGATCTGGCCTGTAAGCCTTGTACTCCAGTTCTTGTATGAATAAATACATTTTTAAAAAATAACAAAGTGAGAACCAGTGGGAGTCAGCCAAAATGAAATCTGTGGGCACGGAGACCTTCAGGCTAAGGGAAGGATGGGTGGCCCACCCAGCACGTGACCTTCAGCCAATTTCCCACTCTTTGTAGACTAGAGGAATCAAGCAATACCAATCTTCATTGTGGCTGGCATTTCTGTCACATTTATAGAGCAATTATTAGATGCCAGATCCTGTTCTAAGTATTTTCCATGTATTAACTAGTTAATTTAATCCACACACCAATTCCATGAGGTCAGTACTTGGCTTATTATTAAACATGACCACAAATTCTTTGACATTCAGTCCATCGGGAGGCACAGTCTACATTCCTGGTCCACCTTGAGTCTGGGTAGGCTTCAAACTACTACAACTGACCAAGTACAGTAGAAAGAGATGCCTGTGGCTTTCAAAGCGAGGTCAGCAAAGATGTAGAGGCTTCAGTCTGGAGCCAGAGGCTCCTGTGTGGCCCACGTTCTCTTGGCCGCCATATTACCAGGAAGCTCAAGCAGCATAGAGCCACATGGAGGTGCTCTGGCCAGCAGCCCCTGGGGAATCCAGCTGTAGCCATTCATCTTCCCACAAAGATCACAGAGACAGGTCATCCCCTTTCTGCCCCACCCAACTCCTGACCTATGTATGACCCACACACATAACAAAATGGTTCCATGTCATGGAGTTTGGAGCTGTTTTGGCACATCACAGATAATGAGATCAGTATGATTATCAGGAAACTTGAGTCACCACAGAAATTAAGCTGAAGGCAACTGGTCTCAGAAGCCATGTGCTTAAAAGTCCTCAATGAATGGGAACACTTACAATTACCAAGATCATTAATTGAGTTACTTCCCTGGCCTAATCTCAGAACCATTTTGACTCCAAAAACTCACTTTAGCGGTCAGAGGTCATTAAATGTGATTGCATCCTTTACGAAGTCTTTCAAAATATACTCAAGGTGACCCCCAAATTTAGTCTCCAGCCTTATTATCATCCCTTTTGCCCTTTCTTGTTGTGCCACTGTTCTCCTCAAATCCTTTGCTCTATAAAAGCCCTTCTCCCCCACAGCGGCTCCTCCCTCCACCCTTCCACACCTTACTTCCCAACACAAAGAATGTGTCCTCTTTAGGAGCATCGCTGGGTACTGCCAGCCATGGGGTTCTCAGTACCCCCTGCTTCCACTCCCCAACTTGAGTCATTTCTGCTCTGCCCCACTGCAAAAAGCCCTCTACCCTTTCTCGTTGTTTCAGAGGCTTGCATAATGTCATGTGGTTTCCAGAACCCTAATATTCCAGGAAGGCAGTGACTTTCAAGAACTGATCTTTCCACCTGGGTGTTCCCAGAGACATGTTTCTATGAAGGTCCCGGCCCCCTACTCCTCCCTGTCCAACCCTGGCCTCCTATGTCTGAAGTGAGATCAGCAGTCGGAAGTCTTGCCGGGCCTCTCTCCCCTCCTTGCCCAAATCCAAGCTGTAGCCCTGTGGATTCTCTCTCATCTTCTACTTCCTCCCAATGTTCTGCCCTCTGCCCAGCTCATCTTCCCAGTGCCCGGGCCAGAACCCGGGCTTGCTCTTTCCTTATCTCAGCCCCACTGGTTCTACCCCCTTTGAGTCCTCCATCCCTGGGGGCTGTTCTCCCATCCCCAGTCACTCCCCTCACCGCTCATCCTCCCAGGGCAGGTCAAGGGGCTTCCTGCAGAGGTGAGCACTCTGGGCAGGGCCCCGTCTGTCCATTCAT